ACAAGAAATCAGGTATATCGTACCTGAATTCATGCAGTCACCGTCCCTGCCGTAAGGGCAAATTACGCAGTTTGGTGTTTCACATAAACGGTCATACAGGTGGTTACAAACTAAATGACGACGGAGAGCATCGGGTGGTATTTCTACTATCGCAACCGATTCTTCTAGACCTGCACTTTTCAAGCACCGTCCTATAGCTATACTTACTTCATCGCTAATAAGGAGCAGCTTAAACGAGATTTTTTTTCGACCAAGTGTTTAGTCTTGGAGCGTCGCTCTCCTTTTAAACATACCTCGTCGGGTTACCATTTCGTAGCCATTGGAGATGGCTATTTGCGGAACCAAGTCGCGCGATTCTTCTTTAGTTCCCTGGTTGTGCACACAAAGGTGGCTGTTCGAAACACGTTTATCACAATCGCCCTCTTTGTGTGTGAAGGGTGGGAAGAAAAGGAATGAACCAGGTTGTTTTTGTTACTTGGTTTTCGGTAGCACTTTGTCATAGAACCGTAACTTGATAAGTTAATTTGAAGGTTTAGAAACGGGTGCCAGTCTTCTTTCGGTTTCTCCCGGGTGAACTTGATGTACTCCCACTGTTCGTTCAATAACTCAAAGTATTTGTCCGTCTCCTCTTGAGTAGAGAAAATGACAAAACAGCCATCTATGTATCTGCAGTACATTAGCGGCCGGAGATCGATAACGGGGGCTTCTGTTCTAGACATGAACGCAATGGCAAGACTTGGCGCCAGCCGCTGTCCCATTGCCAACCCCCTTATTTACGTTAAATATTTCCCAGACCATCTGAAAATCGAGCAGTTTAGGCACTCTTTTAAGAGAGCCATAAGCTGCTGGATGAGCAAACCATGCGTTTTTATTCTTCCTTCATATTCAATAAGAAGTTCGTGGATGGCTTGCATTGCGGAGCCATTCGATACATTGGTGTAGAGCGCAGAAACACCGAAAGACTCCACCGCGTGCACGTTAATAGGAGACACGTCAGTAGACGTTCTAGGAACATTTGGGTGCTCGTGAGGTGAGCTGGGATGTGGTTAAGCAGCTGGGTGAGTATCAAGCTTAGAAACCATGCTATTCTATCCGTTGGTCTGTCTACGCAGCTGATAATGGGTCTTGCCTTGAAGGATGTTGCGTTGGTTGACGTTAGATCATCAGTTGATACTAACTTATATGTTTTAATAAGTATAAGAAGAGACACGTTGGTGCATCTATTTTATAGTGAGAAATAACAGATGGTTTTAAGCCTGCTGTCTTTGCCACTTCGACCTATTGGTTGTTAAGTTTTCGGTATTGCCTTTTGTATTCCTTTTCAGAGGATGGGCGATAGAGCGTAGCGTCACTAAGATGTTCCACTGTTATCTAAACATCCAGCTGGCGAGGAATAACTACAAATTCTCCTCCTCACTAACTGATAGTCTAGTGGTCTTTGAAATAACCAAATCCCTTATTTCTCGCAGACCACATTTTTGTGCGGTTGTGAGGTTAAAGACAAAATTTCTACCGCGTTAGTGATTTAGGATTTTGAGAACGTCGTCAGAAAACATGCAGAATTTCATATTAACTTCCACGTTAGGGCCTTGCTGTCTAAAAGACGCTGTAGGAAAAGGAGACGGTGGTAGTCTCGCCATTTCTTGACTTTCTTTCTTATTCAATATTTCCTGCTTGGTCTGACGGCGGAGTCGATCTTGAAGCTCATACAAATTGCATGCTATCCTACGCACAGTTGCCGAAACGTCAGCTACGATTGTGTTGTATGTGTGTTATTGTATAGAAGTAAACGTACGCTGTTTAACAACCTTGCGATTGCTGAGAAAGAAAAGGACACATTCAATATTCCAGTGTTGAGGTTAATAGATAGTCGATCTTGGGAGCTTTTCCTTAAATTAGCAGCAGGCCTGGATCACTCTGTTGAGATGATGTTGACGTTTCTCGAAGATACCTTTCTATTATCGTGAGCCTCCTTTCCTCTCAGGCTGGAATTTATTCAAAGTTTTTCGAAAAAAGCAGGTTAATCCACAGCTTATCGGTTTCTCTGAACCTAAGTAGGATGAGGCATCCATCTATGCACAGAAAGATGGTGCTTGAAGTTCTTTGCTGGTAAAAATGCTTGATTGTAAAATTACACTTCTTTGAGGCAGATTCCACAAAGACTTTCCATGTTTTTTCTTTGTGCTTAAGATTTACCTGAAATCATTTATATGACTGCGGTTTATTCTCTAATTGACCAATGTATTTTTTTTAGATTTGGTATCAAAGTTCCTTCCCTCAGCGACCTTTCCCCTTTAGTGTTCAAAATATGACTAGGAATATCCTTCATTTAACTTAGGGAACATAGATAACACTATCTTAACTCTTTTATTTACTGCCTTTTTCTTCTTAATGGCAGGGTATGTTGTGAAATATAACTCGTATGAAGTGCTGAGATATTTTCAAAACTCCGGACCACAGGTGTATGCAGTGGGGAACGAACACGCGCTGTTGTCCTTACCGGGGAGCAGCGCACTTCACCACTACACCATCCGGGTTTTGCAAATATCTCAGCACTTCATATAGATAACACTCTTCACAAAATAATAAATGTTGTGTAACATTTCTCAGTCGGATTCACACAGACTTTCTGTACGAGATGTGTGTCGCTTTCAAATGAAATTTCAGCATGCGCTATTTGCTCGATATCTGATGAACCTTTATGATAACTAAGCTTCTTGTACACTTGTCTGTGTTGCCTGTAGTAAATCTGGGCACGTACCGTGTTATGCTTTGGAACAGCTCTGCTTAAGGCACTAGCTGAGAAGTTTCATAAAACCTTCTATTGGGCCTCAACTCTAGTTTCCTCTACTAACATTGCGCACTTATGCCGATCATAGAAAGTACATAAGCACCAGCACCCTTAGTCATCTTTTAATTCGCTCACATAGTGCTCTTACATTCTCCACTTTCTTACTTTCCCATTTCACCCAACGAAATTCTAGCGTTGTGCTACCCATTAGTACAAGCAACCTCGACTTCAGTTGTACCTTATAGCCTTTCTTACTCCAATCACCGATGACTGAGTTATTGCTTATTGGTTGCTAGAGTTATTCGTTATACTACTTTTCCAGTCTACTGTATAAGATGTTCTCACTGCTAAAAAATTGGTTCACCTTCTCCCATGTCATCACTGGTTCCTCAGTATTCTTGGTTGAACTGTGTTCTCTATGGAACTTCATTCTCGTATTACATCAGCAAACTGTTGTTGATGATACTTCCTTGCCATCAATGAAACTTCTTGCTCATTGGCTTAGCTTTGCTCTTTTATTCCGTTGTCGTCTTTGAGCTTATATTGCCTGCACTTCTTGATATCGTCATATTACTATATTATTATTGTTATTGTTATGGACGGTTTGACTGCCTACGTTCGAGGTTTGCTCTCTGGCAATCACAAAAAGTCCCACGTGGAAAGTTTATACGAAGTTGAGCATTCTATCTCGAGGCAATAATTTCTATTTCAGTTTTCATAACCGCACACTCTCTATGACAACTACCATTCACACTATTAACTAGGTCTGAAGTAGTCGATTAGTACCAAAACTTCTAGTGAGTTAACTCGTTTGGGAAACGGTTTTCTTGGCAAACGCCGTACAAAACAACTGTGCTGTGGAACTTCACAGTTGACAGCAAAAGGTATGTTAAATAGTTCTACGTGCTAAAATAAACCACAAGAAAGAGAATTGTACGTGTTACTGTCTTCCCGTCTACTCGCGCAAGCGTTTTCAAGATGTTTTTCTGTTATCTCAGCATCTAACTGTTGAGGAATTACTACAAATTCTCCACGCTTATCAGTAAGATATAGTCGTGAGTTCGGGTACAATTTATCTGGTTTCATGTAAAGCGCGAAGCAACGAATACGCTAGCGCGTAGTCGAGCACCTAATCGTTAAATTTAAATTGAAACCAAGCATTCCATTAATTGCACAGGAAACACAGACATAACGGAGAGGATTTTGAAGTGGAAGAAAACTCTATCCTCTTTCCGAAATCCAGGACACTAGTGCGTAAAAGTCTTGAAGCGTTTTGGACTAATTCCAAAAACCCAAGAACGAACCGCAAGAAGGAGCGCCTTGTGATCACGCGTGAACTGCGCCGTTCCTCAGGCGGATTCTATGACCTGACCCAGACATATTCCTCACCCATGTAATTCTAAATGCGGCTGCTCTTTCCAATTAGCAGAAACAATTTTTTTATTATTTTAATTTTATTTTATTTGATCAGTCTTCGCGTCTGCAGTGCAGATCCCGGCACTTCTCACATCCAATTCGTTTCCCCGCATCCATCATCCACGAAGGTCTTCCAAGTTTTTACGTGTAGTTTCGGTTGCTGCTAAAGGATTTTCACTTCATCTTGAATGTCGTAGAATGCCAGCCGAGCAGTTCCCTTTGGAGTCCTAAGATAACTGCCCTAGCGCGTTCCCAAATCCCTTTCTAGGATCTGAAGAAGGCGAAACCGACGATTCGTCAGCTATCGTGTGCTAATAAATTCTGCAATACCAACCTCGTATTTGCTTATCGAAGAAAAACAGTGAGTTATCACTCAATGCCGAGGTCAATAGAACGTCTGTCTTGGGAATATCCAGAAACTGTGCTGTGACGTTAAATGGTTACACGACAAGTGTACCGCTTGCTTAGGGAATGCACAAATCGCGCAATACTTCTACAAGATTCATGAAAAACGCTGCTTTCTTACAGTTTTCTACAAAGACCGTCGAATTCGCTTAACACAATTCCAACCCTTCCCTTGAACTCAAATCAAACACACGAAGGGTCATGGTCTGTACAAAATGGATCAAAACGGATTGGGCGGACTTAGTTTTGCATTTTTCCTCTAAAAGAAAGTGCGAATCGGCGTGAGATTTGGCTATACGGTGCTCTTCGGCTACCCTCCTGTAGAGCACATGCGGTACGAAATCCGGAATCGCTGGATGATTCAAAGAAAAAACGGCAAACAGAGGACTCAGGGCGGAATTTCTCGGAACGCATTTTCAATATTGTTTGTATTCGTATGCTCGTGTTCGCATGTGCAGGTCTCCTCCTAAGCTATATTTAGAAATCTTTATCGTACTCGTCTGGAATGGACAACCGCGCTCAAAGAGCACACGCAAAGCGAATCACAAAAGGTATGGGGTACAAGAGGCACTTCAGTACCTCGCAGTACTTCACAGTAAGAATACGATTCATAAATAACAAAGAGTGACTGCTTTCTGAGCAAGAGAAATCGTAAGGCACTACAGAGGGTCAAATGAAGAGCAAAAATGTATCAGAATAAAGGAGACAACGACAGTTGCACAAACTAAAGACGACTCAGCGAAAATGAAAATTTGTAGAACTATACCGTCGCAAATAAGAGTCCGGGATGATGTGAAAGTAGGATTACATATAATAAATTATCTTAGCTATTTTCTATACATCGGAGATTTCGCCTGGTTCCGCTTCGAATACCGGGTTTTCAAGCAATATAGTTTTGTCTTTGTCCACTTTATTCTGTCGTGGAGGTACAACCGGCTTTGATGTGATATCCGCTCCGAGAACTGGAAATGAAACATGGTCAGGAAATAAAGTGAATCCTTGGCGTTGTTACTCACGCTTAGCGAGGCTTTCGTTTAAAGAACAAACTTTCGTTCTTCACTAGTGACTCACTTCACTTCACACTATAGGTAATCAGTTTCTTCTAATTCCGTACAAACAAATTGTCTTCCGTCACAATTAAGCCATGGAAAATGAGCCTTATTGTAAGTCAAAATCGATGGACCAGAAAACGTGATGAGGGCTATCATAAATTGTCATTTCATTCTATGAGAAAACTGCGTTGATCGTTCTCCTTTATCTTTACTCAAGCAAAGTCGACAAAACAGTGGAAAAAGACCCCAGCGATGGGACACGAAGACATGAAGATGCAAATAAATTCGATGCGGAAAAAACCTTAAGGAGCGACAAAAGATTTAGGTGAATCTCTTTCACGAGTATCTTTAGTTGCATTTGCTTACCAATGACATCGCCACCAGTTCGATCTCGTGAGTGAAAACTGGCTAGATGGGATGTGGATGGCGTATTTTCTATAGGCAACACCGCAGTGCTGTCCGTTTCCAGATCGTACACTGGATTCGAGAACGTCGTCGAACCGGGTTCTAACGAGCTGATCTGTTGCATACTGTACTCGATCGGGTGTGGGTCCTACAATAAATCGAATTACGATCATCTCGATATAAATGAAACGGTAGGAAAAAGTGCTACACATTTGAAAAGAAAAGAGGTAGTTCTGCAACATTTAAAGGTCCCATGTCAAACTTATGCCATAACTTCCACGCGAAACCCTTAAAAATGCCAATCTCTGAATTCCAAAGATTTTGGCAATTTCGATTTATTGACCTATAATGCACGTGCGCTGTTTAGCGTTGGTCTTCGTATGAAGCACGAGTAATTTTCCATCTGCTGCAACAAACAGCTATACTCGTCCGCGCCTCATTGAGACGCCAATCGATAATACCTGCCACCATGCTGATTCTTCAGTGCCGCGCGATTGCTTTTTTTGTTAACTAAGAAGTTTCGATGACTTCAAATCTAACTTGATTTGATGAAGCGAATGAAACAGCAATAGGTTGCTGATTGAAAATTAGGCATTCTATCCCTTACTTAGTGGACTATGCAGTTGTACCATTCCTCATATAATGCACGGTTTTATTTCCTTTACAATTCCTAACACTTTTTTCATTGGCCAAAAAATCCAGACGTTGAGGCCTTGACACAGAAGTAGAAATTGGTTGTTTTGTTGCTACAGTTACAACTATGTTATCGTCTTAGCTTTTGTGGGCTATTACTGTTCTAGTTGAGGTAAATTATGAGTGCAGAGATCGCCGCTTTCGCTCTCATTCTTCCTGTTTTGGTTTCCCTTCAGTTGGCTGTAGAATGAATATATATATATATACATGTATATATGTAAATGTACATATATATATGTATGTATTCGTATGTATATTTATATACAGTGCACTAAAAAGAAAAATTCTGGAACCGACTGCACTGAAGGAGGCACCACAATGTCCATACCGACCGTTATGGGTTAAATGAATTGGTTAAATGACATAGACTGCGATACAAAAAGTGCGGAACAGTGCTTCTGAACTGATCTTAGTTAATGAAATTATTGCGTCGGCGACACATGTGGGCATGAAGCTAGTTATGGTTTGACGCTGTTTAGTGGACGGAGTGCGGTGGGTCTAGTCCAAATTCCACATTTGCGGATTTGAAGGTAGGTCCATATGCGTCGTTTGCGATTGCTGAGAAACCTATAATAACTTCATGGCATCTCATCGAGTTGGACTGCCTTCCAGCGGTGATACAGCGTAATCGAATGTTTGATCAGAGCCGTTCATAGAAATAGTACAACAGCTCCAGCTCACCACAGAGCGTTTTCGTTTAATGTAACCGCTACGGTGATTGAAAAAGCCGTTCATGACTGTTGTCGCCTTCATCGAAACGCCTAAAGTAGGACTGCACTATCGGTTTGTTACCGACACAAACACGGCTCATATATCCCGAGGGATCTAGTTTGTAAATCGTCCACCTGGATTCGATCTTACCTTACCTCCAGCGCTCGTGACTTTTATACTATTGCTACGTAGCTGAGAGACAGACGAAACGAAGTATCCATATGGTGTGGTGGTGAACACGTTAGCCCCCGGAAAGGATAATAGAGCGTTCGTTCCCCACTGCAGACACCTGCCGTCCGGAGTTTTGAAAATATCTGTCATTGTTGTTCTATCACACATAATACACTGCCATGAGGCTATATCAACAAGGCAGAGAGCAGTTTAAGCGTGAGGAAAAGATCTTAAGGGAAAAAACCTGAATATTAATCCTTTAAGCCAGTATATATTAGGTTAACTGCAAAGAGTCTTTCATCTTTTATAAATTTATAGGCCTTATTTTCTATTTTTTACTACGACGATTTGAACAGCTCAGCTCACCTGCTTGCTGTCAAGTGCTGGGTTGCTAAATGAGATGACGTTTCCATGAAACGACACGGTGCTGTCGGCAGCTTCGTTCTTCTTCGACAACAGTGCACGTTTTCTGACGAAAGTATTTTATGTAATAAGGAAGTCCTCAACGGAGAATAAATCAAAGGTTATGCTGACTGTTTACAGATGAGGCAAAACTACCTGTACATATTAACGGCGAAAAATCCGACGAGGCCAATGCAGACAAGCAGCGCCAACAGGAGGAACAGTGCAAGCAGCAAGTTTTCAGATATTCTACCGATCAACTGAAGTGAAGAGTGCTTTAATTGAAAACCAAACACTTTGATTCAAAAGGTTTAGCACATTAAAAGCACAGAAAACCAAGGATCTCTGAGCATTGTCGCCACTAACACTTTTGTTTCTAAAGGAAAGTGAGAGAAAAAAGGAACGAGAAACCTTAGGAGGCATGACAATTATCTTCATTTAGCGTTATAAGAACTGGGCTATTCGAATGCATGAAAGAGTCCTCTGCTGCTTCTTGTAAAACGAAAATTACTGTTCCGAATCCGAATGGTGCTTCACCGACCTTTCTACTGACGGTGTTTGATTTCTGGCAGTTCTCGCCTTCGAAATCCGACGAGCACTCACAGCTTCCATCCAGCTTGCAAATTCCGCCGTTCACACAATTGCACTGACGAGGCATCACCAGCGCGTCCACGCGTGCCATCGAGCACGATCCATCCTGCAACACTCCAAAGTCAGCGAATATTTTGCTGATGTAAGGCNAGCGTTTTCGTTCAGTGCAACCGCTACTGTGATTTAAAAGACGTTCAGGACTGGTATCGTCTTCACTGAAGCGCTTGAAGTAGGATTGCACTGTCGGTTTGTTACCAATGTCCACACGGCTCGTATATCCCGGTAGATCTAATTTATCGGTTGTCCACTTCGTCTTGATGTTACCTTGCCTCCAGCGCTCGTAACTTTCATACTATCGCTAAATAGCTGAGAGATAGACGAAACGAAGTACCCACATGGAGTGGTGGTGAACACGTTAACCCCCGGAAAGGATAATAGAGCGTTCGTTCCTCACTGCAGACACTTGCCGTCCGGAGTTTTGAAAATATCTGTCATTGTTGTTCTATCACACATAATACACTGCCATGAGGAAATAGTAGGCAGTAAATGAAAAACCAATATTGCTGAATAATTTTTCAAAAAGTACCTCAACATAACCTATATCAACAAGGCAGAGAGCAGTTTAAGCGTGAGGAAAAGATCTTAAGGGAAAAAACCTGAATATTAATCCTTTAAGCCAGTATATATTAGGTTAACTGCAAAGAGTCTTTCATCTTTTATAAATTTATAGGCCTTATTTTCTATTTTTTACTACGACGATTTGAACAGCTCAGCTCACCTGCTTGCTGTCAAGTGCTGGGTTGCTAAATGAGATGACGTTTCCATGAAACGACACGGTGCTGTCGGCAGCTTCGTTCTTCTTCGACAACAGTGCACGTTTTCTGACGAAAGTATTTTATGTAATAAGGAAGTCCTCAACGGAGAATAAATCAAAGGTTATGCTGACTGTTTACAGATGAGGCAAAACTACCTGTACATATTAACGGCGAAAAATCCGACGAGGCCAATGCAGACAAGCAGCGCCAACAGGAGGAACAGTGCAAGCAGCAAGTTTTCAGATATTCTACCGATCAACTGAAGTGAAGAGTGCTTTAATTGAAAACCAAACACTTTGATTCAAAAGGTTTAGCACATTAAAAGCACAGAAAACCAAGGATCTCTGAGCATTGTCGCCACTAACACTTTTGTTTCTAAAGGAAAGTGAGAGAAAAAAGGAACGAGAAACCTTAGGAGGCATGACAATTATCTTCATTTAGCGTTATAAGAACTGGGCTATTCGAATGCATGAAAGAGTCCTCTGCTGCTTCTTGTAAAACGAAAATTACTGTTCCGAATCCGAATGGTGCTTCACCGACCTTTCTACTGACGGTGTTTGATTTCTGGCAGTTCTCGCCTTCGAAATCCGACGAGCACTCACAGCTTCCATCCAGCTTGCAAATTCCGCCGTTCACACAATTGCACTGACGAGGCATCACCAGCGCGTCCACGCGTGCCATCGAGCACGATCCATCCTGCAACACTCCAAAGTCAGCGAATATTTTGCTGATGTAAGGC